TGAAAACTTGGCTATTCCAATGTGCCTTCAATGACTGAATGTCAGATACTCCCTGACCAACTTTGCACAAATTGACCTCAGAAGCACTTTGTTTTATGGTTTGTGCAATTAAATCCTTCCTTATCCCTGGATCCTCCTCCCCAATAATTTATATTGTCCTATCTCCTAGCATTTTAAATTTTATCTTTGAATTTGGCCCTGCCCAGTGAAAATCTTTTCTGTTTTAATAGTTGATTTTATATTGTTGTGCCGTTTATTATTTTGGTTTTTTTTATTTTATGAATTTTTATTTTCCGGTTTTGTTATGCTTTTGTTATATTGTGTGTATTGTACTGATGGGTGTGGCCTCATGTAAGCCGCACCGAGTCCCCCGGGGGAGATGGAAGCGGGGTATAAATAAAGTTTTATCAGTGAGGTCAAATTTAGACTGAGACCGCGTATATCTGCCGAGCATTTATGCTAAAGCTCAAAGTTCCTGACTGGGAAAGTATAGGCAAGCGGTATCAGATCAGAAGCAGATCCATACATTTACACAATGGACCTTGATTGTCACCTTTGTCTAGGGATATTGCCCAACCCTAGATGTCCAGGAAATTCCTCAGCAGTATCAGCAAGGAGGCAATGACCTCTGTCATGTTGGAGTTCAGCCTGTGATTGTGTCTGATGATCAGTGTAACCTGGATGTTGGGAGTGACAATGAAGTTCATGTGTCTAATGATGAGGTTGCTCAAGATGAAGAGAATGACAATAGGATTCCTGTTCAAAGAGACTTCTGATGGAAATGTTCCTGAAGGGTTTGGGGATGATGGTCTGTTCCCTGAGCCTGCATTGCTGCCAGAGAATTCCCAAGGCTTTGAGCCTGAGAAAGGCTCGGCATCTGGGCCAGCTGCAGAAATTAATGAGCCAGTAGATAGGAGAAGTGCTTTCAGTCAGCAAAGAAAAACAAACCAGGCTCTCAGGCGCTCTGCCAGATTGCAGGAGAGACTGATAGCGGATTCAAGGCTGAGAAGAAATCCATTCCTGGCCATTTGGACTATAGAGTAGATTAAGGGATAAAAGTGCCAAGTACAGAATCTGTAGCCAGACGAAGCAACGTTGGAATTGAGTCAAGACTTCGTCTCAGGTCCCTGGAAGCCTTGCCTTGGATAGATTCCCGTTAGTGTCTTGTTTGATTTGTGCTCAAGTTGTGGAATTTTACCTTGGAAGTTCCAGTATTTGTTTTCATGAACTCTGATGGACTTTCCTGGACTATTTGTTTTTATCTATCTTTCTACCTAATTAGATGTACCTATTTTTGTGGATTGCTTTTTACTGCTACTGCTTTTAAATATCTTCAATAAACTACTTGCATTTTATTCAGCTGTGTGGTGTTTAAAGTCAGAGGGCTTCCTGGCCTGGAGTGCAACATGTGGCTCGCTCGGGCAGAAATCGTATTATTTAATATAGATTTGATACATATTGGGATAAAGCAGGGAGCAAAGGATAGGAGAGGCAAAGAGTTACAAGGAAAGGTACATTTTATTAAAGGGTTGTGTTGTAGTAGAGCCTGTGAGTAACGTTACAAACAGTAGTGTGGGTGCCAGAAGGGGAAAAAGGGAGCAGGAATCTGATGATGAGCAGCAGAGAAAGAGGATCCGGGACATATTTACAGTGCTTACAGATGAGGAGTCGTTTGAAGGATTATCTGGGGATGATGGGTCAATGAGTGAAGGAGAAGAAGGAGACACCATGGATTGGACTAAGATAAGAGAAGTGCAAGCTATTTGTGAGGAGCCAACAACTAGTGATACCTTTATGGGGTTCTCTGGAGGTGAAGACTGGCAATCAGGGGACCCAACTGAGTCTTGGAGGGATCTAAGTCTTGACAGGAGATGGAGGACTTGGAGGGGAAGACAAGGTGGCTCACGTGAAGAGCTGGAAACAGCTGCAGGGGATAACGATGGGGCGGTGGTCAGTTCATCTTCTGATGATGAGTTGTAAATAAAAGTGGTTCAAGGGTGAAGGCTCCTTGCAGAAGGCAAGGTGTTGGAGTGCGTTTGTGTTTTGGGTGTCTTGCTGCTGCCAGTTTCGTGTTCGGTGTTGGTTTGGGATCTGCAGTTTGAATCTTTTGATCGTTTGTTTGTTGTTGACCCGGATTGGCTTCTCGTGAGTGTGGACTTCTCCCTTCCTGGACCTGGATCAGCTTGGCTAAAGACGCTGCTTCTAGGGACTCTGGAGCTACACAGTTTTGGATTTCTCCCGCTTCGACCCTGGACTTCGGCTGGCGATGCTTCATTTCCTGCGGCTTCTCCTTTTGTTGTGTACTGTGCCTTTTTGTTTGACCTCAGAACGCTTTGTTTGTTTCGTTTCTTTTATCCAACTAATCCGGATTATATTCCTGCAAAGCTTTTTGAACCAGGACTGGTTGTTTCTTGAGTTTTGACCAGTGGCACTGCATTTAAGTGCCTCTGCATCCTTTTTCCTTTGTTTTAATAAACTCTGTATTGAAGTCACTTTTGAGGTGTCTGTGATTCTAACAGGTTGGGGAACAATAAAATCTTTAGATGCGATTCACGGCTGCAGATCAGGTCAGCATGTGCGCTGAGACGCATCAGCACATATCTGCAGGCCTTTAATAAAAAATATATAAGAATGAAAAACAGACTTCTGTGGGAGGGTTGTGGCTGCTGATCTGTATACTACCCTAAATTCATGGTTAGACGCAGAAGTCTTGCAGAGAAGGGGAAGGAAATCGTTTATTTTATTTTTGTGTCCTTGGAGAAGATTACAGAAATGATAGTTTATTTATTGCTGCACTGAGAGAAGCAACAGGGGGGACAACCAGGCAGTACTTAAGCTGCAAAAAAAGGAGGGAGGACTGTAGAAATACCCGAAATAAAATTATTGCAGCAGGAGTTTTCATGCAACGTAATTCACTCCTTCAGATACAATAAACCACTTGGGTGGAGGATCTTCTGCTATCATGTACATTTCCAAAAAATCCGGATGGGAATCTTACAGGGTGTGAAGGCATTCACCTGCCAAACGCTCAGGTCTTTTACTTCCTAGGAAGCTCAGATGACCACAACAGGATTGACAAGAAGGTATCAACAAAGAGGCTGACAAACGAGGAGCCACACCCTCTTCATTAGTGTACCAAAACATTAGAAAGGTATCTCAGTCAAGCAATGTAACATCAGTATTATTATCTGTATTGTTGAAGGTTTTCACTGCCAGAATCACTGGGGTGTTGTGTAATATCCAGGATGGGTGGCCAATGTGTCCTAGCAGCATCTTCTCCTGACGTTTTGCCTACATCTGTGGCTGGCAGGCATCTTCAGAGGATCTGATGGTGGTCAAGCAAGTGGAGTATATAACATACCTGTGGAATAATGTCCAGGGCAGGGGAAAGAACCAGTGTCTATTAACTAATTGTGAAGGGTGCATTGCGCAACCCACTCAAACAATTGCAAACCAGGCTTGCTCATTGCGCCTTTCACACTTGGTTAATAGACATTGATTCTTTCTCCCAACCAGGTATATATATATATACACTCCACTTGCTTTTCTACCATCAGATCCACCAGCCAGATACAGGCGAAATGTCAGGAGAAAATGCTACTGGAACGTATTGGCTACACATCCCGGAAACCACACAACACCCCAGTACTATTATCTGTTGTTACTCGGCATGTGCAATCCATGCTTCTAAATGATTCTAAAGCACTTACAAAAATAAAGTTCTGGTGGTGAAAACTAGGGGGCGCTGGTGCTTTGCTTCTACGGCGTTGCTAAAGTTCTGGTGGTGAAAATTTCAGAACTCTAACAAAACTTTCAAAATTATTTCATTATTGATGATTTTTATGACAGAACCAATTAAGGACTGCTATTTATAATGAAATTTTGAAAGTTTTGTTAGAATTCTGAAATTTTCACCACCAGAACTTTAGCAACAATGTAGAAGCAAAGCACCAGCGCCCCCTAAAGTACTTACAAAACTAAAGTTCTGGTGGTGAAAATTAGGGGGAACTGGTGCTTTGCTTCTACATTGTTGCTAAAGTTCTGGTGGTGAAAATTTCAGAACTCTAACAAAACTTTCAAAATTTCATTATTGATTATTTTTATGACAGAACCAATCAGGAACTGCTATTTATAATGAAATTTTGAAAGTTTTGTTAGAGTTCTGAAATTTTCACCACCAGAACTTTAACAACAATGTAGAAGCAAAGCACCAGTGCCCCCTAGAGTACTTACAAAACTAAAGTTCTGGTGGTGAAAATTAGGGGGTACTGGTGCTTTGCTTCTACATTGTTGTTAAAGTTCTGGTGGTGAAAATTTCAGAACTCTAACAAAATCTTCAAAATGGATTGCACATGCCTAATATTTACATACACATGGTACAAAAGTAATTTGCTACAGCTGAATATATAATATATAATAATATAATAAAGGGGGTGTGTGGTTGATTGATTGACAGGACAAACCCAGTATCTAGTTAAAGGAACATTGTCTCCTTTAAGGAGAGAGAGAGAGAGGGGAGAGAGCCCTAACCTGAGAAAGAGGTCCAGCAGCGTGTGGTCATTCAGGTGGACCGAGAGAGGCCTTGGCCACCTGGTAAATACAGAAAGGACACTCTGAACTGACCCACAACATGTGGAAGAACAACAGTATTGCTAAAGTTCTGGTGGTGAAAATTTCAGAACTCTAACAAAACTTCAAAAATTATTTCATTATTGATGATTTTTATGACAGTTCTGGTGGTGAAAATTTCAGAACTCTAACAAAACTTCAAAAATTATTTCATTATTGATGATTTTTATGACAGAACCAATCAGGAACTGCCATTTATAATGAAAATTTTGTTAGAGTTCTGAAATTTTCACCACCAGAACTTTAGCAACAATGTAGAAGCAAAGCACCAGCGCCTCCTAGTTTTCACCACCAGAACTTTAGTTTTGTAAGTACTTTAGAACCATGGATGGCACATGCCTAATATTTACATACACATGGTACAAAGGCAATTTGCTATAGTTGAAGTTCCATATATATATAGGGAGGAGATGTGATTGATTGATTGATTGACAGGAAAAACCCAGTGTCTAGTTAAAGGAACATTGTCTCCTTTAAGGAGAGAGAGAGAGGGGAGAGAGCCCTAACCTGGCACCTGAGAAAGAGGTCCAGCAGCGCGTGGTCATTCAAGTGGACAGAGAGAGGCTTTGGCCACCTGGTAAATACAGAAAGGACACTCTGAACTGACCCACAGCATGTGGAAGAACAACAGTATATATAATACTATTCCTGCAATCTGATACTCAGTGGAGCAGGCACAGTCCATGCCAGGCATGGGCAAACTTTGGCCCTTCTCCAGGTGTTTGGGAGTCCAAAACACTAGAAGGGTCAAAGTGGTCAATGTGATGACTTTGAGGGAGAGGAGATATATTTACAAAGTCTTGAAAAGCGCATTGGAATCCATCCAGAGCGAACCACAGAATGGGATAACTGCTACCGGACCGACCGTCCTACGGCTACGAATGGCTTCAACTCTGGAAAGTACACCTGGCGCACCTATTGCACGATTCCATTGGCCTCTAGAGCCTCCACGATGTGAGCGGCCGAGGGGCGCTTGCTGGCCTCCTCCATGGAGCAGAGGGCGAAGAGCTCGATGGCCGCTTGGTACGTGGGGCCCAGCTCCTCCACATTGAGGGCCGGCCGGGTCCCCAGCGCCTCATAAAAGGCCTCGTAGTCAAAGTCAGCTTCGTCAAAAGACGCGTCTGGAAGAGACAGATCACAGATTGCAACAACATGTGATATATATTTGTTAACCTGTATTGTATGTAATATTGTATGTGATATATATTTGTTAAGCTGTATTGAAATAATTGAAATAAACAAAAAAAAAAAACCACCCTCAAGGAGGTCTGGGAAGATTTAGGGATAAAAATAAATGAAACACAGTGGCAACAATTATGGAGACAAAGACGTCTAAAAAATTATCAATACGGGTTAAAGAAAATTATTATAAGTTTATATGGAAATGGTACCTAACACCAGTAAAAATAGCAAATATAAATAAAAACTATTCAAAAAATTGTTGGAGAGGATGTCAAGAATCAGGAACATATATACATATGTGGTGGCCATGTAAATATGTAAATAATTTTTGGGGGAAGTATTTAGAGAAATAGAAGATATAATGAATATTAAAATAGAAACAAGTCCTAGTATAGCTTTATTATCATTATATTATAATAATAAACAATTGAAGAAAGAGGATAAAGAAGCGACAACAAACTTATTACTTATGCACAAGAAGTGGCAAAAGGGAGAAATCACCAAAGAAGAATTCAAACAAATAGCCAACACCAACTTGAGCTTCCGGATCACCGACAGAGGAAGGCCAATGTAGAGGGCGTTACAATAGTCCAATCTTGAGATGACCGTGGCCTGGATCACCGTAGCTAGGTCGTCCCTGGACAGGGAGGGGGCCAGCCATCTAGCCTGCCACAGGTGAAAGAAGGCGGTTCTGCTCACGGCGGAGAGAGACCTGGGCCTCCATCCTCAGCAGAGGGTCCAAAAGGACTCTCAGACTCTTGACTAACAATGACGGGCGTAGCTCCTCGCCATCCAGGGTAGGCAGCTGGATATCCCCACTGCCCGGTCGACCCAGCCATAGGATCTCCATCTTTGCTGGATTCATCCTCAACCTGCTGGCACGCAGCCATCCATTAACGGCCTTGAGGCACTGATGGAAATAATCGGGTATGGAATCCAGTCAGCCTTCCATCTTCAGTACAAGCTGAGTGTCATCAGCGTACTGGTAACACTCCAGCCCAAAATCTCGAACCAGCTGAGCAAGTGGTTGCATATAAATGTTATCCCCCTACCAACCCCAGAGATTACTCCGGTCTGAAGACCAAAATCTCCTTGCAGCCCGGACCTATCATATCTCATCTACTAGGCATAGAGCCTTCTCGATTGTAGCCCCTTATTTATGGAATGCCTTGCCAGTCGAAACTCAAACCATCCGAGACCTACTGGCTTTTCGAAAAGCCTGTAAAACTTTTCTTTTCCAGCAAGCTTTTGATGGGTAAACAACCCGGGCTATGCCTGTTCTCGCTGCCTATTGTTATTGTCATGGTTATTTTTAAAGCTAATTGTATTAGAATCATAGAATCAAAGAGTTGGAAGAGACCTCATGGGCCATCCAGTCCAACCCCATTCTGCCAAGAAGCAGGAATATTGCATTCAAATCACCCCTGACAGATGGCCATCCAGCCTCTGCTTAAAAGCTTCCAAAGAAGGAGCCTCCACCACACTCGGGGCAGAGAGTTCCACTGCTGAACGGCTCTCACAGTCAGGAAGTTCTTCCTAATGTTCAGATGGAATCTCCTCTCTTGTAGTTTGAGTTTACTTTAATTTGTTTCTGTAAACCGCTCCGAGCCAAACTGGGAGTAGCGGTATGCAAGTCAAATAATAAATAAATAAATACTCCATTTTGTTGTCAGTATATTTTTTTGGACTTCAATAGAATCAGTACGCTTTTGGACTTCAACAGAAGCAAATGCCATTTGGACTTATGCAGGAATGGTTTACTATATGTTTGCTTTGAGAAGCACCCCCAACAGATGGCCATCCAGCCTCTACTTCAAGGCCTCCACAGAAGGAGCCTCCACCACACTCCCTCCGTGGCAGAGTGTTACACTGCTGAACAGCTCTCACAGTCAGGAAGTTCTTCCTCATGTTCAGATGGAATTTTCTTTCTTGTAGTTTGACGCCATTGCTCCATTGCGTCCTAGTCTCCAGGGAAGCAGAAAACAAGCCTGCTCTCCTCCCTATGACTTCACCTCACACATTTATACTTGACCCTTATCATGTCTCCAGTTGCACTCCAGGTCAGGAAAAAGCCCTCTGACTTTAAAACACGCCACACGAAGAGTGAAGAAACAAATCTTCTTTTATTGAAGCTCAGTAAATAGCCAGAAGAAATAAATGCTTGTAAGAAAATAACAAAGTTCCAGAAAGTAATAAGTTCATAAAAAATAGTAACACAAAGCAATGTCCACACAAGTAATAAAAGCTGTCTTGGATTGCTTTTATTACTTGTGTGGACATTGCTTTGTGTTACTATTTTTTATGAACTTATTACTTTCTGGAACTTTGTTATTTTCTTACAAGCATTTATTTCTTCTGGCTATTTACTAAGCTTCAATAAAGAAGACAGGAATCAACAGGATGCAAAGACAATTCAGAAGGCTACAAAACTCCACAGGAAGAAGACCCCTTGAACAGGATTTCCATGGCACATGAACTTGGTTTCCAAACGATGCCTGATCTAACAGGTTTCCCCTTGAGGCAAACCTTTTATCCCAAAACTCAGAAATTGGTTTCGCTTCCCCCCACATTTCCCCATTATCAGGCAAAGCCTTTCAGAGTGACATAAACACTGAGTTTGCTGTCTATCCTGGCTAATCTCCAGTCGCCTATTCTTCAGCTCCCTACCTGGCTGCTCATTAAAATTCCCAGGTGTCAGATTGTTTTCCAAACCCAAATCTTGAGAGCTCACAGAGAGAGGGAGTGAACCGCCATGGCTAGGCCCAGCAGGGATATTCTCATGAGAAACTGCCCTTTGCACTGGGGCCTCTCTGTCATTGTCTGCCTGAAAATCATTGACCAAACCACCTCCATCTTGTACCTCAGCCTCGGCACCATCATTTCCCTCATCATTTCCCACATCAGGATCCTGAAACACAAACACAGGCTGATTCCCAACATCTCCTCTCAGCCTTCTCTTCTTCAGGGTAAACACGTCCAGCTCTTGAAGCTGCTCCTCATAGGGCTTAATCTTCAGATCCCTGAAGCTGGAATGTGTCCAGAGGAGGGCGACTCAAAGGATCAAGGGTCTGGAGAACAAGCCCTATAAGGAGCGGCTTAAAGATCTGGGCATGTTTAGCCTGCAGAAGAGAAGGCTGAGAGGAGACATGATGAGGGCCATGTATAAATATGTGAGGGGAAGTCATAGGGAGGAAGGAGCAGGCTTCCTTTCTGCTGCCCTGTAGATTAGGATGCAATGGAACAATTTGCACATCCCTGTCCATCCTCCCCGCTGCTGTCATGCCTCTTCCTTCTTGCTGCTACATGCGGCGGAAGAGAACTGGAGGCAGTAGCTCCTCCCACTGGCTATATATACTCTCAAGGGGAGAGTGGGCGGAGCTACCGCCAAAACGTTTAATTATTTGTCTAGAAGATTCCGAAGCTGTTCTGCTCAGGTCTCCACATGTTCATAAAGAGTCTCATTTGCAAAACGGATATGACATCATTTTCCTTTCCAAAAAGGTTATGAATGCTACAGGAATCCCCCTGCCCCCAGACACACCTGTGTTGTCGCTATCATCGTCCTCCGGCAGGTTCACGTGGGGCATCGAGAGGGTCATCATCTCCCACAACGTCAGCCCCAAGGCAAATATGTCCGCCCGGTCGGTGATGACACCACCGCCAGCCTGCTCCAGGGCTTCCTTGGGTGTCCAGGCCTCGGTACCAATGTAAACAGCCTTCGGGTCGCTCACTGCGGAAAGAGAGCGGTCAAGTCAAATTGCTAGAGCCTCCTCAGGAAGAAATGCAAGGCAAGAGAAAGACTTTGAATGGAAGGAAGTTTTTTTGGGAAGGTGTCTACTGGATTGGCCTACCTTACAGGGTTGGTGTAAAAGCCATAGACAGGCCTGGCTTGTAAAAGCTAAGGAGAGCAAGGGGGGGGGGGGAGAGAGAGAAGCGATCAGGCAGTTTCATAGCTGGAAATTGGAGAGTTGCTTGGTAACTGAAGATGGACAGAATCAGAGAGAAAGGAGTTAATGCTGCCAGAAAGCTTGTCAGTGTTGAAGCTGGGAGTTTGGAGTTGGAAGCGTTAGTTATGAGTTTTGAAGGGGAAGAAAGGAAGGAAGAGTTTGGGAACTGTGTTAGAAAGATTCCTCTTTGAGGAAAATAGTTAAAGCCTTCAGGGAGAAGGAATAAGGAATTTCATAGGCCTCTATAGTGTTAAGAGTGCTGGTGTGGAAAGAGGGTTCAAAAGGTTCAAAATAACCTGTTTGTATTCTTGTGTGTGGAACATTGCTTTAAAAGAAATGAAGTTATAAAACTTTTCTCTGTAAGAAGTAAAGCCTGACAGATTATTGAAACCACTACACATCTTTGCTGTTCAAGAACAAAAAAAGAACATATTCTTGTTTCATTTCACCTGAAGAGTTTGTGTGTCTTCTTAAACATTCTGGCAAGGAGGTGGCCTATGAAACAACAGAAGGTGGCACCACAAGTATTTGGTGGCCAGGAATTGTGGGAGTTGAAGTCCAAAACACCTGGAAGGAAGGACAGTTTGCCCATTCCTGTCCTGGGGAGACAGCTGTGTTATTTCCTCCCTGGAAGGAGAAATGGGAGTGGCTTATATGTGCACACCTTTTTTGCCCTGTGCTTGCTCTCTCCCAAGCTTCTGCATCTATAGTCCAGCGCCATCCTTGTTGTGTGTCTTGCTTGGTTGTGAGTATCTCTGTCTACTGATAGCAGACCTTTAAACAGTTATATGTAGCAATGACTGAAGAATGAACCTCCAAAGGAGTTTGGATGAAAGCCAGAGCTCAAGTGTGCTTATTAAAGTGGTGAGCTACAATACAAGGTCAGAGGCTGTGCTATAAAATCTCTGCTAACTGTGATCAGGACTCTGCAGTATTTTGGATTGGAACTAACTGTAAAGAGTTTGTAAAAGAGCCACCGATTTGTGAAGAAGCCACCACTTTGTAAGGGTTTACTAATTTGATAGCATAACTAATAGCTAGTGCCATTGACTTGGTCAATTGTAACAGAGACAGGGCTTTAGGAAGAACAGTAACAAGTTTATTGAAATGCACAAGGAGCTTGATGGTTTCAATGTTTCTTGACTCTTAGAGGAACAAATTTTCAGGTTACATTTATAACGTTTCTTAAACAACTCTTCCTTCCACTAAACAGGTTTCAAACTTATTTCTCTTCAAACTGTGTTTTTTTCCTTAATAGATTACTTCAGTTACAAGCTTATTCTTTCTTTGTAATGTTTCTGTTGCAATAGAGATTCTCACTGGGTTCCTTTCACTCTTTCTCTCATACACTAACTATTAATATAAATAAGTCAACTTGACTTATTTAAACTACTCAGGCTAAAAGCCAAAAGCTTCCTGATTTTCTCTACTCTAGAATCAGCCACTCCTACATTTCACAAACTGTAGACTAACTTACTGGTTCTCAACACACACTAGAAACAGCCTCTCTTGTAGTTCACTAACTACAGACTGCCTTACTGGTTCTCAACACACCACAGAACCAGCCTCCCTGTCGTTCGCTGACTACAGACTGACTACAGACAGAATTTTCACCAGGAGAGTGGACAAAAATAACACTCCAGAGGAAAGAACCTGGGCAAAATGAATGGCACGGGGTCAACTCACCTGTCATGTTTTCATCCAGAGGCAGTGAAACGCCCACGTCGCAGATCTTTATGGACTCAAAGTCACCCTTAATGACAACATTGGGGGATTTGATGTCACCGTGAAGCAATTTCTTCTCATTGTGAAGATACTGAGAAGGCAAAGAAAAGAGCTCTTGTTCCCAAAGGAATGTAGATGATCGCATTTCAGCGACCATCAAAATGTATTTCTTTGTTTACAGTATTTATGTTTCGCCCTTCTCACCACGCAGGGGACTCAGGGAGGATCACAATGCACATATACATGGCAAACATTCAATGCCATAAACACACAACATATATCGACAGACACAGAGGCTATAGGAAAAAATTAAAATCGTGGTTTTGGAACCAGGCTTTCGGCTAGTGGGCACAGCGGCACTTTGGACATTGAACTGGACCATACGATTGTTATGATAATTGGAAACGGCTATGTGACTATATAATTAATGTTTAGAGTTTTTAATCTATTATCTATTTATGGTTTTTATATTGTTGTTTTATTGATTGCGGCATCGAATTGTTGCCAGTGTTAGCTGCTCTGAGTCCCCCCCCCCCGCCCGGGAGGTTGAGTAGGGCGGGGTAGAAATGTTGTAAATAAATACAATAAATAAAAATGTAACATTCCAGCTTCATGAGGGTATGCTCGAATTCCTGCCACCGGGGAAGCTGTCACTTCACCGTCAATTTGTGACACCGACGGAGTAGTTCCTCATTCTTTTGCACACTGCTGGAGAGTTTTGTGGCATCGTAAATTAGTTTATTTACTTATTTAAGGCATTTGTAGGCCGCCTTTCTCAGCCTTACGGTGGCTCAAGGCAGCTTATAGAATTGGCAGAATTTGATGGCATGCATTCAGAAAAATACAGTTAAAAACATTCAGCCTAATATGAAAACCATATAAACAATTAAAAATTATAATCACAATTAAATTAGCCTCCCCACATAAAGTGGTACCTAAATTTCCTACTTGACAGATGCAACTGTCTTTCAGGTTGCAAAGGTCAACAGCAAGCTACACAAATGGTCAGGAGCTTATTCCGACCCGGGCTGGTTTCGAACTTATGACCTTTCGGTCAGTAGTGATTTTAATGCAGCTGACTCTCAACCAGCTGGGCCATAGCCCGGTCCCTTCTCAGGGGTTTTCTCAATCAGACCCCTCCCCCTCCACTACACAGAGTTCTTTCTTTTTTTGGGGGGGGGGGAGTTGTTGAGCACCTGGAATGACAACACACCAGCGGCATGCCTACCTACCTTCAGCCCTCTTGCCACGTGCAAGGCAACCCTGAGGATGGTCTCAGGCGGGAAGGGCCCCAAGCCATTCTCCTTCCTCTCTTCAATGAGGTCGTTGAGAGACTTCTCTCCCCCGTATTCCATGGCGAGGCACATGGTCCCATCCTTGGCTTCCGTGAAGGCACGATACCCTGGAAAAGGAAGGGCCCTTCTCATGGCTAGGAGGCAAAGAGAACTCAAGAACATCTGGTGGACAAAGAAGGCTGAAGGAATCCAACACCTGGCAGATACCCAATGATGCTCAGGGATTTTTCAAAGCCACAAAGGTCATCTATGGACCAAGACACCACGGCATACAGCCTCTATGCTTCTGATTTGCCCTTCAAAAACAGCTTTAATATAATGTTGAAAGTAAAAGAAAAATGCTTTACTCCAGCAAACACAAAGGATCATCAAAGGCAGTTGAAAAATGCAAACGAAAGCAAGGAAGTCTGAATGCAGACACAAAATTAAAGTCTCTTATAAAGTCCCAAAAGAAACAGCAGTCTTACATCAGACAACGGGCAATGAACTAAATTCTCAGAAGCCGATTCCACTGGAGCGAAAACATCAGCATCAGAGTCGTTGTTACTAGCGAAAGCCGACTACTGCTTCTGATTCCCCACACAGGAGGTGCTAGGGCGTCTCCCAATTAGCTTAGCGTTTCTAGCAGCTATCCTAGCTGAATGCCGTCTGTGCTCTGTCTCCTTTCGCTTCTCCAGAAATGTGGGCACTTGCAAGCCCTCATCATCTGATTCCTCTTCCAATTCCTGAACTCTTCCCTACTCCTGCTTCTGATTTATAGCCCTGAAGTCCCCACACAGGAGGTGCTAGGGCGTCTCCCAGTTAGCTCAGCATTTCTAGCAGCTATCCTAGCTGAATGCCGTCTGTGCTCTGTCTCCTTTCGCTTCTCCAGAAATGTGGGCACTTGCAAGCCCTCATCTTCTGATTCCTCTTCCAATTCCTGAACTCTTCCCTACTCCTGCTTCTGATTTATAGCCCTGAATTCCCCACACAGGAGGTGCTAGGGCGTCTCCCAATTAGCTCAGCGTTTCTAGCAGCTATCCTAGCTGAATGCCGTCTGTGCTCTGTCTCCTTTCGCTTCTCCAGAAATGTGGGCACTTGCAAGCCCTCATCATCTGATTCCTCTTCCAATTCCTGAGCACTTCCCTGCTCCTCTTCCTATTCTGAAGAAGAGGAATCCCCAACAGCTCATCAGATGATGATGATGATGATGATAATAATAATAATCTATTTAATACCCCACCACCATCTCCCCAATGGGGACTCGGGGCGGCTTACATGAGGCCAAGGCCAACAGCATATTACAATAATATAAAACCAAAACACAATAACAACACAGTGAAATACATACAACATATGAGTACAAAAAAAAAAGATAAAGCAAAATCACACGCAATAAAATAACAATGAGGGGGCCGCATGTTCGAGATAAAAAACCAAAATACTAAACATACTAAAATCAGGATGAGACAGGGATGGAGCAGATTGTTTGTGAGGGAGAAACTCATAAAGGAGTGGAGTCATAAAGATAGACCTTCATCCAGGTGGGGAAATAGACTCTGGGGACCGTTGAGGGGGAGCAACTGTGTATGGCTACTCTCCAAAAGCGCACCGGAAAAGCCAAGTTTTGAGATCCCTCTTGCAAGTTGCTAAGATGTGGGCCTTCCTAATCTCACCAGGCAATGAGTTCCAGAGTCGGGGGGCCACAGAGGAGAAGATGGAACTTAACTTCTGAATGACAAAAAAACAATTGCACTACGTTGGAAACAACACTACCAAAGTCTCCTGAATCGCAGCTCCAATGTGGCTGAAGAGGTTCTCTCACAAAACTCGCAACAACAAACCAGGAATGAGCTTGCAGCACTGCCTAGTTTGGAAGAATTTAGCAATGCCATCAGCCAACCAATAATAATAATAATAATAACAAAGCCAGCGGACCTGATGGGATCCCTGCTAAAATCTTTAAAGAGGGAGCATTTGAGATGGCACAACAACTCCATGAGATCATTGATAAAGTGTGGGTGACCAAGAAAATCCCAGCAGATTTCAAGGACGCCACCATCATCACCCTCTTCGAAAAAAGGGGAAAGAACAGACTGCAGAAACTATCGAGGTGTCTCCCTTCTAACCACCTCTGGGAAAATCCTCGCAAGAATTCTTGCAAACCGCCATCTCCCAAAAGGGACTCGAGGCGGTTTACAAAGAGACAAGCTCAAGGAGCACAGAATTAAAACCTAACACAATAAAATAAAATCAAAACAAAACAACATAAGAACATATCACAACAAAACATAACCTCATAAAAACAGTACCATGCTGTGCAGTAAAAATGCTGAGATCAGAGGGCTCAGAGTTTGTGCAAAAATTGCTAGATAGAGCAAAGGGAAAGTGCAAAATTCAGCAAGGCAGGGCTGGGAGGAGAATGTCCCTGGGCCTTAAAATGTCAGAATTATAGAGCGAAGGGCCAGGCTAAAGTGCCGAGACTTGGGTAACATTGGGCCAAATATTAATCCTTGTACCAAACAGTTATGTGTTTGGGTTGCTGTGAATTTTCCGGGCTGTCTGGCCATGTTCCAGTAGCATTTTCTCCTGATGTTTTGCCTACATCGGTGGGTAATGGCATCTTCAGAGATTCAGAGGAAGGCTAACTTTTATTGAGTCGTGCTAATGTTTACCATCTGTCTTGTTGAGTTGCCTGCAATAATTGTATTCGACCAATATCTTAAAATATGTTTATTGCTTATTGTAAATTTGTTGTTATAGGTTATTGTTTTACATATGCAAAATGTTTTGTATTGTCTTTTATATAATGTTGTAAGGTGCTTTGGGTCCCGTTTAGGGAGAAAAGTGGGATATAAAAAAGATTATTATTATTATTACTACTACTACTAGCTGTACCCGCCACGGTTTGCTGTGGCCATCCTTCCCTCCCTCTTTCCCTCCTTTTTTCCTACTCTTCCTTCTCTCCCTCTTTCGTTCCTTCCCTCTTTTTCTTTCCCTTCTTCTTTCTTCCTTCTTTACCTGTTTCTTTTCTCGCTTCCTTTGCTCTTTGGTTCCATCCTTCCTTGTCTCTTTCCTTCCTTCTTTCTTCTTTTCTTTCCTTCTCTCCTCTTCTCTCCTTCTTTCCCTTTCTCTCCTTCCTCCTTCTCTACCCTTCTTTCCTTCCTTTCTCCTTCCCCCCTTCTTTCTCTCCCTCCTTCTTTCCTTCCTTCTCTACCCTTTTTTCTTTCCTTCCTTCTCTCCTTCTTCCTTCCTTCTCTCCCTCCCTTCTCTACCTTTTTCTTTCCTTCTTTCTTTCTCCTCCTTCTTTCCCTTTCTCTCCCTCCTTCTCTACTCCCTTCCTTCTCTACCCTTCTTTCTTTCCTTCCTTCTCTCCTTCCTTCTGTCCTTTCTTCTCTATCTTTTTTCTTTCCTTCTTTCTCTCGCCTCCTGCTCCCTTACCCCTTTCTGTGTATGTGTTTTGTGTGTGTGTGTGCATATATGTGTGTGTGCCTATATATGTGGTTTTGCACATGCGTTGTAATGTAATTTTTGTTTTTTGACTTTTTAAACCCCTTCTGCTGTGTTTTTTGAGTCACTCATTGGCCTGAGAGGTGCCTTGTGTCCAAATTTGATGTCAATTCGTCCAGTGGGTTTTGAGTTCTGTTAATCCCACAAACGAACATTGCATTTTTATTTATATAGATTCTGCTGGCAATGAAGCAAGTGGAGGATGCCACCAGGCAACAGAGGCCAGGCTACCTCAGATACCCTCACTGATTGACTTTGCAGCTTCATGGCTACCCAAATGCTAGTTCAAGCTTGCCAATTGCAATATTCACACTTGCTTCAACAGACAAGGGTCTTACTCCCACCCTGGACATTATTCCACAGAGATATATACACACTCCACTTGCCTCGCTGCCTACAGAACTTCTGAAGATGCCAGCCACAGATGCAGGTGAAACATTAGCTGGAACATGGCCAGGCAGCCTGAAAACCGCACAGCAGTCTAGTATATTGTTGTTGTTATCACTGGGTTTTTTGGCCTGACACCAAAAAATTTAACCTGCCTGGCCTTTGATAGGTGGCCCAAATGGGGCACAATCCACCCTAACTCATACAGTTGGGGGACTTTATTAAAAACCCACAAACCCCCTTTTGTCCTTTGGTTCGGCATCTGCAGCGCTGCCCCAAAGGCAACCCTGGGAAAGTCGGTCCTGTTAATAGGAGTCAGAAGGAAGCCCCCTTTCCCCACTCAAAACTCACCGATGATGTTGGGGTGCTGGAGGTTTTTCAGAATGCTGGCTTCCTCATTCAGCCGCTTTTGATACGTATTTCGCTGGTTGGAGTCACATCCGGGATTGATTTTCTTCACGGCCCAGGGAGAGCAAGGCATGCCTTTCGGAGACCTGGAAAAGAGGAATTCTTGATGGAGAGAAAGTCCTGCAGACTCTGCACTGGCTTACATCACCTTCAGTCACGTTGGCTAACATATCTCAAATGAGTTTCTGCCCTGTCTTCTGCGGCCACATTCTGAAATTTATTTATTTACTAGCTTGGGGGCCCGGTGCTACCCGGGTCATTTGAGAAAGACATTGTGTGGCAAGGTTGGTCTTTATCAGTTATTTATGTGGCTCGCAGTGCTCTCAGGAAGTTTGTGAAGGTACTGCAAGTCCCATCGTCCATGGTCCATCGTCCTCCAAACAGTACCAGGATGTAGAGTAGGTCATGGGGGCTCTGTGTGCCAAGTTTGGTCTTGATCAGTCATTGGATGAGTGTCACAGCGGTCTCGGGAAGCGAGTGGAGGTACTTCAAGTCCCATCATCCATGGTCCATCCCCCTCAAAACTGCACCAGGTCATGGGGGTTATGTGTGCCAAGTGTGGTCTTGTTTGGCCATTGGATGAAGGTCGCAGTGGTCTCGGGAAGCGAGTGGATTCCACTTTGTGGCCCCATTTCTTGAGGTTGGCTCTGCATCTCATGGTGCCAGAGCACAGTCTGTTCAGCGCCTTCCAAGGTGCCCAGGGGGGGAATCTCTCATTGGGTATCAGCCATTGGTTGAGGTTCTGGGTTTGAGTCTGCCACTTTTGGACTCTCGCTTGCTGAGGTGTTCCAGCGAGTGTCTCTGTCAATCTTAGAAAACTATTTCTTGATTTAAGTCGTTGACATGCTGGGTGATACCCAAACAGGGGATGAACTGGAGATGTCTCCGTCTTGGTCCTTTCACGATTGGCTGCTACTTCCCGGCGGATGTCAGGTGGTGCAATACCGGCTAAGCAGTGTAATTTCTCCAGTGGTGTAGGGCGCAGACACCCTGTGATAATGTGGCATGTCTCATCCACTGTTTTAGCGTGGTGAGATGTGTTCCACACTGGGCATGCATACTCAGCAGCAGAGTAGCATAGCGCAAGGGCAGATGTCTTCACTGTGTCTGGTTGTGATCCCTAGGTTGTGCCAGTCAGCTTTCGTATGATATTGTTTCTAGCGCCCACTTTTTGCTTGATGTTCAGGCAGTGCTTCTTTAAAACTAGTTTGCCATGTTAAAATCGCCATATTAAAATCATCATCCAAAACAATCCAAGCACACGTCACTCATCCATCTCAATACTTGTTGGAGCAAATTCTTTCTGCCTTACCTTTTCATCAGGTAAACGCTGACTCCAGTCCCATAGCCAAGCTTCTGCATGAAAGGAGAGGCTGGAATTGTTATGGAGGGCGAAGGGCTACTCTGTCCTGTGTTGCAGAGAGAGAGAGAGAGAGAGAGAGAGAGAGAGAGAGAGAGAGAGAGAGAGAGAGAGAGAGAAATAATGTCTTTACATTATCATTATTATATTTCTATTATCATGATTACCTTTATGTATAGCCTGCTTTCTTGTCTTAAACAAGACCCAAAGCTGCTTCCACTGCTCATCAATTCCTGGTTGTTGTGATGCTAGGAACTATAGACCAGGCCTGAGCCACCTTGGGCCCTTCTTCCAGGCGCTTTTGGACTACAGCTCCCACAATTCCTGATTGTTGTGATGCTAGGAAATATAGACCAGGCCTGGGCCACCTTGGGCCCTTCTTCCAGGCGCTTTTGGACTACAGCTCCCACAATTCCTGATTGTTGTGATGCTAGGAAATATAGACCAGGCCTGGGCCACCTTGGGCCCTCCCTTCCAGGTGTTTTGGACAACTCCCACAATTCCTAACAGCCGGAGGGAGGGAGGAACCAAGCTGGCTGAGGCCTGGGCCACCCGTATGAAGAGAGGCGGTGCCCAGCCCTGAGCCAAGGCCTTGTGGGTTGTTGTAGGTTTTTTCGGGCTATATGGCCATGTTCTAGAGGCATTCTCTCCTGACATTTCGCCTGCATCTATGGCAAGCATCCTCAGAGGTAGTGAGGTCTGTTGGAACTAGGAAAAAGGGTTTATATATCTGTGGAATGACCAGGGTGGGACAAAGGACTCTTGTCTACTGGAGCTAGGTGGGAATGTTTCAACTGACCACCTTGATTAGCATACAATGGCCTGACTGTGCCTGGGACAGTCTTTTGTTGAGAGGTGATTAGATGTTCTTGTTTGTTTCCTCCCTGTTGTTGTGCTGTTGCAATTTTAGAGTTTTTTTAATACTGGTAGCCAGATTTTGTTCATTTTCATGGTTTCTTCCTTTCTGTTGAAATTGTCCACATGCTTGTGTATTTCAATGGCTTCTCTGTGTAGTCTGACATGGTGGTTGTGCGAGTGGTCCAGCATTTCTGTGTTCTCCAATAATCTGCTGTGTCCAGGCTGGTTCATCAGGTGCTCTGCTATGGCTGACTTCTCTGGTTGAAGGATTCTGCCGTGCCTTTCATGTTCCTTGATGCGTGTTTGGCTGCTGCGTTTGGTGGTCCCTCTGTAGACTTGTCTAATTACCTCTCAACAAAAGGCCCCAGGCACAGTCAGGCCATTGTATGCTTCCTTTTTAAAATTACCAGGTGCAGAGGATGCATTTTGCTTGCTTCAGCTGCTGGAGACTTTTGGGAAGGAAGGAAGGAAGGAAGGAAGGAGGGGAGATTTGTCATCAAGCCAGCCCACAGATTAGGTTTTAAGCAACTCTCAGTATGCTCCAGTCTTTGTCTACAGGGGGAAAATTTATTTTTTTATTTTATTTTTATTTACTTCATTTGTTGACCGCCGCTCTCAGCCCTGGGGCGACTCGCGGCGGTGTACAACATGTAAAAACCATCTACAAAACATACAATATAACAACAATCGAATTACACATTAATCTAAATTACACTAATAGATCCGCGCCATCACAACATAGAGTCATAGCCAGTCTCATAATCCATAGTCCGTTCCAAATATCACAACCAAATTCGTGTGGGTCTCAATTAAATGCCTTGTCGAATAGCCAGGTTTTTAGGCTCTTACGAAAAGCCATAAGGGAGGGCGCCTGTCTGATGTCAACAGGGAGGGTGTTCCACAGCCGGGGGGCCACCACTGAGAAGGCCCTCTCTCTCGTCCCCGCCAGGCGTGCCTGTGAGGCAGGCGGGATCGAGAGAAGGGCCTCCCCGGACGATCTTAAGGCCCTCGAGGGCTCATAGGCCGAGATGCGGTCCGAAAGGTATTTTGGGCCGGAACCGTTTAGGGCTTTGTAGGCTAACACCAGCACCTTGAATTGGGCCCGGTAGCAGATCGGCAGCCAGTGGAGCTGGGACAACAAGGGCGTTGTGTGCTCCCTGCGTCCCGCTCCCATTAGTAACATGGCTGCCGCGCGCTGGACTAGCTGAAGCTTCCGGGCCGTCTTCAAGGGCAGCCCCACGTAGAGAGCGTTGCAGTAGTCGAGGCGGGATGTGACCAGAGCGTGTACCACCGTGGCCAAGTCAGACTTCCCAAGGTACCAGGTGCAGAGGATGCATTTTGCTTGCTTCAGCTGCTGGAGACTTTTGGGAAGGAAGGAAGGAAGGAGGGGAGATTTGTCATCAAGCCAGCCCACAGATTAGGTTTTAAGCAACTCTCAGTATGCTCCAGTCTTTGTCTACAGGGGGAAAATGCCTTTGCTAAATGGCCTAACTCTCCTAAATGTCTTCATTTGAGACTCCTTTCATGGAGCAGTTGCACCTCTTCATCTCACGGTTTGAAGAGCTCGGTGGGATCAAACCAGGATCCCTATTGAACCCCAATGGACGACAGCTGGCACTATGACACCCGTTCCACCTTCTGCTTATCATGAGATTATAGGATTCGCTGGAAAAGCTTGAAGGCAATGGGAGAAGAAGGAATGACTGTGTGCATCTTTTCTCTCTGCTTGGTTTTTTTTCCTGTATGAGACTCGACTCAACACTCTCTCTCTCTCTCTGTATATGTGTGTGTGTGTGTGTGTGTGTGTGTGTGTGTGTGTGTGTATATGTATATGTATGTATGTATGTATGTGTATATATATATATATATATATATATATATATATATATGTATATATGGAGAGAATCATAGAATCAAAGAGTTGGAAGAGACCTCCTGGGCCATCCAGTCCAACCCCATTCTGCCAAGAAGCAGGAATATTGCATTCAAGTCACCCCTGACAGATGGCCATCCAGCCTCTGCTTAAAAGCTTCCAAAGAAGGAGCCTCCACCACACTCCGGGGCAGAGAGTTCCACTGCTGAACGGCTCTCACAGTCAGGAAGTTCTTCCTCATGTTCAGATGGAATCTCCTCTCTTGTAGTTTGAAGCCATTGTTCCTGTGTCCTAGTCTCCAAGGAAGCAGAAAACAAGCTTGCTCCCTCCTCCTCCCTGTGGCTTCCTCTCACATATTTATGCATGGCTATTATATCTCCTCTCAGCCTTCTCTTCTTCAGGCGAAACATGCCCAGCTCCTTAAGCCGCTCCTCACAGGGCTTGTTCTCTAGACCCTTAATCATTTTAGTCGCCCTCCTCTGGACACATTCCAGCTTGTCCATATCTCGCTTGCATTGTGGTGCCCTGAATTGGACACAATATTCCAGGTAAAGTGGTCTAACCAAGGCGGAATAGAGCATGGGGAGCATGACTTCCCTAGATCTAGACACTAGGCTCCTATTGATGCAGGCCAACATCCCATTGGCTTTTTTTGCCGCCACATCACATCACATCACATCAATATCTTTGTTGTTGGATATTTGTTCAGTCACTTCCGACAGCACAACAGAGAGGAAACAAACAAGGACATCTAATCACCTCTCAACAAAAGATTCCCCCAGGCACTGCCAGGCCATTATATGCTAATGAAGGTGGTCAGTGGAAACATTCCCACCTAGCTCCAGCAGACAAGAGTCCTTTGTCCCACCCTGGTCATTCCACAGATATATAAACCCTTTTTCCTACTTCCAACAGACCTCACTACCTCTGAGGATGCTTGCCATAGATGCAGGCGAAACATCAGGAGAGAATGCCTCTAGAACATGGCTCTATAGCCCGAAAAAACCCACAAGAACCTGATGATGACTATGTTTACTTATGCCCCCCTTTTTTTCTCCACAGGTAGACTCAAAGCAGCACTATAAAATTTGACTGCTGCAGCCCTGTGATGCTGGGACCAACAGACCAGGCCTGGGCCAACTTGGGCCCTCCTTCCAGGTGTTTTTCGACTACAACTCCCACAATTCCTGATTGTTGTGATGCTAGAAACTATAAACCAGACCTGGGCCACCTTGGGCCCTCCTTCCAGGTGTTTTTCGACTACAACTCCCACAATTCCTGATTATTGTAATGCTAGGAACTATAGACCAGACCTGGGCCACCTTGGGCCCTCCTTCCAGGTGTTTTTCGACTACAACTCCCACAATTCCTGATTATTGTAATGCTAGAAACTATAAACCAGACCTGGGCCACCTTGGGCCCTCCTTCCAGGTGTTTTTAGGACTACAACTCCCACAATTCCAGATTGTTGTGATGCTAGGAACTAGAGACCAGGGTCTGGGCCAACTTGGGCCCTCCTTCCAGGTGTTTTTAGGACTACAACTCCCACAATTCCAGATTGTTGTGATGCTAGGAACTAGAGACCAGGGCCTGGGCCAACTTGGGCCCTCCTTCCAGGTGTTTTTAGGACTACAACTCCCACAATTCCAGATTGTTGTGATGCTAGGAACTAGAGACCAGGGCCTGGGCCAACTTGGGCCCTCCTTCCAGGTGTTTTTAGGACTACAACTCCCACAATTCCAGATTGTTGTGATGCTAGGAACTAGAGACCAGGGCCTGGGCCAACTTGGGCCCTCCTTCCAGGTGTTTTTAGGACTACAACTCCCACAATTCCAGATTGTTGTGATGCTAGGAACTAGAGACCAGGGCCTGGGCCAACTTGGGCCCTCCTTCCAGGTGTTTTTAGGACTACAACTCCCACAATTCCAGATTGTTGTGATGCTAGGAACTAGAGACCAGGGCCTGGGCCAACTTGGGCCCTCCTTCCAGGTGTTTTTGGACTACGACTCCCACAATTCCTGATTGTTGGGATGCTAGGACAGTGCTTCTCCACCTTCCTAATGCCGTGACCCCTGAATACAGTTCCTCATATTGTGGTGACCCCCAACCATAACATTATTTTCATTACTACTTCATAACTGCAATTTTGCTACTGTTATGAACTGTCATGTAAATATCTGACATGCAGGATGTATTTTCATTCGCTGGACAAAATTTGGCACAAATACCCGATACGCCCAAATTTGAACACTAGTGGGGCTGAGGAGGATTGATTTTGCCATTTGGGAGTTGCAGTTGCTGGGATCAAAGAGCATTCTGAACTCCACCAAAGATGGAATTGAACCAAAGGTGACACACAGGACTCCCATGACCAATGGAAAACACTACAAGGGTTTGGTGAGCATTGACCTTGAGTTGTGGAGTTGTAGTTCACCTACATCCAGAGAGCACTGTGGACTCAAACCATGATGGATCTGGACTAAACTTGGCACGAATACTCAGTATGCCTAAATGTGAACACTGGTGGACTTCGGGGAAAATAGACCTTGACATTTGGGAGTTGTAGGTGCTGGGATTTATAGTTATAGTTCACCTACAATCAAAGAGCATTCTGAACTCCACCAATGATGGAATTGAACCAAACTTGGCACGCAGTTCTCCCAAGACCAACAGAAAATACCGGAAGGATTTTGGTGGGCATTGTTTCGAGTTTTGGAGTTGTAGTTTGCCTACATCCAGAGAGCACTGTGGACTCAAACCATGATGGATCTGGACTAAACTTGGCAAGGATACTCAAGATGCCCAGATGTGAATACTGGTGGAATTTGGGGAAAATAGACCTTGATATCTTGGGAGTTGTAGTTGCTAGGATGTATAGTTCACCTACCACCAAAGAGTATCGTGAACCCCACCAATGACAGAATTGGGCCAAACTTCCCACATAGAATCCCCATGACCAATAGAAGATACTGTGTTTTCTGGTGGTCTTTGGTGACCCCTCTGACACCCCCTTGCGACCCCCCCAGGGGTCCCGACCCCCAGGTTGAGAAACACTGGGCTAGGAACTAGAGACCAAGCCTGGGCCACCTTGGGCCCTCTTTCCAGGTGTTTTTGGACTACAACTCCCACAATTCCTGATTGTTGTGATGCTAGGAACTAGAGACCAGGCCTGGGCCAACTTGGGCCCTCCTTCCAGGTGTTTTTAGGACTACAACTCCCACAATTCCTGATTGTTGTGATGCTAGGAACTAGAGACCAGGGCCTGGGCCAACTTGGGCCCTCCTTCCAGGTGTTTTTAGGACTACAACTCCCACAATTCCTGATTGTTGTGATGCTAGGAACTAGAGACCAGGGCCTGGGCCAACTTGGGCCCTCCTTCCAGGTGTTTTTGGACTACAACTCCTACAATTCCTGATTGTTGTGATGCTAGGAACTAGAGACCAGGGTCTGGGCCAACTTGGGCCCTCCTTCCAGGTGTTTTTGGACTACAACTCCCACAATTCCTGGTTGTTGTGATGCTAGGAACTAGAGACCAGGGTCTGGGCCAACTTGGGCCCTCCTTCCAGGTGTTTTTGGACTACAACTCCCACAATTCCTGGTTGTTGTGATGCTAGGAACTAGAGACCAGGGCCTGGGCCAACTTGGGCCCTCCTTCCAGGTGTTTTTAGGACTACAACTCCTACAATTCCTGATTGTTGTGATGCTAGGAACTAGAGACCAGGGCCTGGGCCAACTTGGGCCCTCCTTCCAGGTGTTTTTAGGACTACAACTCCCACAATTCCTGATTGTTGTGATGCTAGGAACTAGAGACCAGGGCCTGGGCCAACTTGGGCCCTCCTTCCAGGTGTTTTTAGGACTACAACTCCCACAATTCCTGATTGTTGTGATGCTAGGAACTAGAGACCAGGGCCTGGGCCAACTTGGGCCCTCCTTCCAGGTGTTTTTAGGACTACAACTCCCACAATTCCTGATTGTTGTGATGCTAGGAACTAGAGACCAGGCCTGGGCCAACTTGGGCCCTCCTTCCAGGTGTTTTTGGACTACAACTCCCACAATTCCTGATTGTTGTGATGCTAGGAACTAGAGACCAGGGCCTGGGCCAACTTGGGCCCTCCTTCCAGGTGTTTTTAGGACTACAACTCCTACAATTCCTGATTGTTGTGATGCTAGGAACTAGAGACCAGGGCCTGGGCCAACTTGGGCCCTCCTTCCAGGTGTTTTTGGACTACAACTCCTACAATTCCTGATTGTTGTGATGCTAGGAACTAGAGACCAGGGCCTGGGCCAACTTGGGCCCTCCTTCCAGGTGTTTTTGGACTACAACTCCCACAATTCCTGGTTGTTGTGATGCTAGGAACTAGAGACCAGGGCCTGGGCCAACTTGGGCCCTCCTTCCAGGTGTTTTTAGGACTACAACTCCCACAATTCCAGATTGTTGTGATGCTAGGAACTAGAGACCAGGGCCTGGGCCAACTTGGGCCCTCCTTCCAGGTGTTTTTAGGACTACAACTCCTACAATTCCTGATTGTTGTGATGCTAGGAACTAGAGACCAGGGCCTGGGCCAACTTGGGCCCTCCTTCCAGGTGTTTTTAGGACTACAACTCCTACAATTCCTGATTGTTGTGATGCTAGGAACTAGAGACCAGGCCTGGGCCAACTTGGGCCCTCCTTCCAGGTGTTTTTGGACTACAACTCCCACAATTCCTGATTGTTGTGATGCTAGGAACTAGAGACCAGGCCTGGGCCAACTTGGGCCCTCCTTCCAGGTGTTTTTAGGACTACAACTCCCACAATTCCAGATTGTTGTGATGCTAGGAACTAGAGACCAGGGCCTGGGCCAACTTGGGCCCTCCTTCCAGGTGTTTTTAGGACTACAACTCCCACAATTCCAGATTGTTGTGATGCTAGGAACTAGAGACCAGGGCCTGGGCCAACTTGGGCCCTCCTTCCAGGTGTTTTTAGGACTACAACTCCCACAATTCCTGGTTGTTGTGATGCTAGGAACTAGAGACCAGGGCCTGGGCCAACTTGGGCCCTCCTTCCAGGTGTTTTTAGGACTACAACTCCTACAATTCCTGGTTGTTGTGATGCTAGGAACTAGAGACCAGGGCCTGGGCCAACTTGGGCCCTCCTTCCAGGTGTTTTTAGGACTACAACTCCTACAATTCCTGGTTGTTGTGATGCTAGGAACTAGAGACCAGGGCCTGGGCCAACTTGGGCCCTCCTTCCAGGTGTTTTTAGGACTACAACTCCTACAATTCCTGGTTGTTGTGATGCTAGGAACTAGAGACCAGGGCCTGGGCCAACTTGGGCCCTCCTTCCAGGTGTTTTTAGGACTACAACTCCCACAATTCCTGGTTGTTGTGATGCTAGGAACTAGAGACCAGGGCCTGGGCCAACTTGGGCCCTCCTTCCAGGTGTTTTTAGGACTACAACTCCTACAATTCCTGGTTGTTGTGATGCTAGGAACTAGAGACCAGGGCCTGGGCCAACTTGGGCCCTCCTTCCAGGTGTTTTTAGGACTACAACTCCCACAATTCCAGATTGTTGTGATGCTAGGAACTAGAGACCAGGGCCTGGGCCAACTTGGGCCCTCCTTCCAGGTGTTTTTAGGACTACAACTCCCACAATTCCAGATTGTTGTGATGCTAGGAACTAGAGACCAGGGCCTGGGCCAACTTGGGCCCTCCTTCCAGGTGTTTTTAGGACTACAACTCCTACAATTCCTGATTGTTGTGATGCTAGGAACTAGAGACCAGGGCCTGGGCCAACTTGGGCCCTCCTTCCAGGTGTTTTTGGACTACAACTCCTACAATTCCTGATTGTTGTGATGCTAGGAACTAGAGACCAGGGCCTGGGCCAACTTGGGCCCTCCTTCCAGGTGTTTTTGGACTACAACTCCTACAATTCCTGATTGTTGTGATGCTAGGAACTAGAGACCAGGGTCTGGGCCAACTTGGGCCCTCCTTCCAGGTGTTTTTGGACTACAACTCCTACAATTCCTGATTGTTGTGATGCTAGGAACTAGAGACCAGGCCTGGGCCAACTTGGGCCCTCCTTCCAGGTGTTTTTGGACTACAACTCCTACAATTCCTGATTGTTGTGATGCTAGGAACTAGAGACCAGGGCCTGGGCCAACTTGGGCCCTCCTTCCAGGTGTTTTTAGGACTACAACTCCTACAATTCCTGATTGTTGTGATGCTAGGAACTAGAGACCAGGCCTGGGCCAACTTGGGCCCTCCTTCCAGGTGTTTTTAGGACTACAACTCCCACAATTCCTGATTGTTGTGATGCTAGGAACTAGAGACCAGGCCTGGGCCAACTTGGGCCCTCCTTCCAGGTGTTTTTAGGACTACAACTCCCACAATTCCTGATTGTTGTGATGCTAGGAACTAGAGACCAGGCCTGGGCCAACTTGGGCCCTCCTTCCAGGTGTTTTTGGACTACAACTCCCACAATTCCTGATTGTTGTGATGCTAGGAACTAGAGACCAGGGCCTGGGCCAACTTGGGCCCTCCTTCCAGGTGTTTTTAGGACTACAACTCCCACAATTCCTGATTGTTGTGATGCTAGGAACTAGAGACCAGGGCCTGGGCCAACTTGGGCCCTCCTTCCAGGTGTTTTTGGACTACAACTCCTACAATTCCTGATTGTTGTGATGCTAGGAACTAGAGACCAGGCCTGGGCCAACTTTGGCCCTCCTTCCAGCTGTTTTTGGACTACAACTCCCACAATTCCGGAGGGCCCAAGCTGTGTCTCCTCCAGGCCCTTCCTTTCCTTCCCCCCAAGCCCCTTAGGAGTGCCTCACCGGACGGCCTGGGCGTGGAGGGCTTGCTGGGGGTCTTGAAGGCGCCTCCCGAAGCCATGGCTGCCTCCTTCCAGCTCCTCGGGTTTTGAATATAGGCGCGTTATGGCGTCAAAAGAGGGACGGCTACGGCGGCCGCCGAGGGCCAAACAACTCCCAGAATCAGAACAGAGGGAGAGAAGGGGCGTGGCCTAAGAGCCCAGCAAGGCTGTTTTGCAAGAATCCCTGGACTATTGAGAACCTGGATTATCACTTAAAGCAAGGCTTGGTGATTTCATGTATCTCATAAGACAAGGAATGGACCAGATGACAGATTAGAGAGATGATGGGCCAAAATTAACAAAATGAAGTTCAACAGTGACAAATGCAAGATACTCCACTTAGGCAGGAAAAAACAAAATGCAAAGATACAGAATGGGGGACGATGCCTGGCTCGAGAGCAGTACGTGTGAAAAAGATCTTGGAGTCCTCGTGGACAACAAGTTAAACATGAGCCAGGAATGTGATGTGGCGGCAAAAAAAGCCAATGGGATTTTGCCCTGCATCAAGAGGAGCCTTGTGTCTAGATCTAGGGAAGTAATGCTACCCCTCTATTCTGCTTTGGTTAGACCACATCTGGAATATTGTGTCCAATTCTGGGCACCACAATTCAAGAGAGATGTTGACAAGCTGGAATGTGTCCAGAGGAAGAGGGCGACTCAAATGATCAAGGGTCTAGAGAACAAGCCCTATGAGGAGCGGCTTAAAGAGAGCGGCTTGAAGCCATTGTTCCATTGCGTCCTAGTCTCCAGGGAGGCAGAAAGGAAGCTTGCTCCCTCCTCCTCCCTGTGACAAGCTGGAATGTGTCCAGAGGAAGGCAACTAAAATGATCAAGGGTCTGGAGAACAAGCCCTATGAGGAGCGGCTTAAAGAACTGGGCATGTTTAGCTTGAAGAAGAGAAGGATGAGAGGAGATATGATAGCCATGTATAAATATGTGAGAGGAAGCCACAGGGAGGAGGGAGCAAGCTTGTTTTCTGCTTCCCTGGAGACTAGGACGCAATGGAACAATGGCTTCAAATTACAAGAGAGGAGATTCCATCTGAACATGAGGAAGAACTTCCTGACTGTGAGAGCCGTTCAGCAGTGGAACTCTCTGCCCCGGAGTGTGGTGGAGGCTCCTTCTTTGGAAGCTTTTAAACAGAGGCTGGATGGCCATCTGTCAGGGGTGATTTGAATGCAATATTCCTGCTTCTTGGCAGAATGGGGTTGGACTGGATGATGGCCCATGAGGTCTCTTCCAACTCTTTGATTCTAGGATTCTAGATGCAAAAGATTATTTTTGTATATTATACTATAAAATGTATTACATAATACTAATAATATATAATATATTTTATATTACAGTAATATCCTAAAATACGGATAATCTATATACATTGTACAATAATAGAGTACAATATTAATAATATTATAATAATTGTATATTATATATTGCATGTAATATTATTAATAATGTTGCAATATAGAGGTATAGTACTTACTTACTTACTTTCTTACTTAGGCGATCCCTCGTTGGACGAGTAAGATGGTCTTCCATTATGGATTTCCTTGTGGGTCCGTATGTGGCTGTGGAGCCCTATTCTTGCTCTGCATCTTCTTCCGCAGTGAGGGCATTGGTTTCCAGGTGGAAGGCGGTCCCGGTTGGGGTTGCCTTGACGCGCCTTCCTCTTGGCATGATTCTCCCTTTCGCCCTCCACTCGTGCCTCCTCCAATTCTGCAGCACTGCTGGTCACAGCTGACCTCCAGCTGGAGCGGTCAAGGGCCAGGGCTTCCCAGTTCTCAGTGTCCACGCCAAAGTTTTTAAGGTTGGCTTTGAGCCCATCTTTTTTTTAAAATAATTTTTATTAGAAAAATGCTTGCTCCATCCATGTTCAACATCTACACAAATGACCAGCCACTGCCAGAAGGGACAGAGAATTTCATCTATGCTGATGATCGTGCCATTACTGCTCAAGCAGGGAGCTTTGAGATGGTAGAACAGAAGCTTTCCGAAGCTCTAGATGCTCTCACTGCCTATTACAGAGAAAACCAGCTGATCCCTAATCCATCTAAAACACAGACATGCGTCTTTCACCTCAAGAACAGAGAAGCATCCTGAGCTCTGAGGATTATTACCTGGGAAGGAATCCCACTGGAGCATTGCAGCGCACCCAAATCCTTGGTAGTCACTCTGGACCGTGCTCTTACCTACAAGAAGCACTGCCTGAACATCAAGCAAGAAGTGGATGCTAGAAACAATATCATACGAAAGCTGACTGGCACAACCTGGGGATCACAACCAGACACAGTGAAGACATCTGGCCTTGCGCTGTGCTACTCTGCTGCTGAGTATGCATGCCCAGTGAGGAACACATCACGCTAAAACAGTGGATGTGGCTCTGAATGAGACATGCCGCATTATCACGGGGTGTCTGCGCCCCACACCACTGGAGAAATGACACTGCTTAGCGGTATTGCACCACCTGACATCCGCCGGGAAGTAGCAGCCAATAGTGAAAGGACCAAGGCAGAGACATCTCCAGCTCATCCCTGTTTGGGTATCAGCCAGCACACCAACGACTTAAATCTAGAAATAGTTTTCTAAGATCTACAGAGACACTCACTGGAACACCCCAGCAAGCGAGAGTCCAAAAGTGGCAGGCTCAAACCCAGAACCTCAACCAATGGCTGATACCAAATGAGAGACTCCTTCCTGGGCACACAGCAACTTGGAACTCTGAACAGACTGCGCTCTGGCACCACGAGATGCAGAGCCAACCTTCAGAAATGGGGCCACAAAGTGGATCCTCGACATGCGAGTGTGGAGAAGAGCAAACCACTGACCACCCGCTGCAATGCACCCTGAGCCCTGCCACGTGATGCACAAGGGAGGACCTTCTTGCAGCAACACCGGAAGCACTCCAAGGGGACAGATACTGGTCAAAGGACATTTAACCAACTACCAAACTCACAAGTTGTGTATTTTTCTGTTTGTTTGCTTTGTTCTGTTAGAAATGTAATATAATGGACTGGCTGCTCTGACACGACAAATAAATAAATTTAGGTGATCCCTCGTTGGACGAGTAAGGTGGTCTTCCATTATGTGTTTCCTTGTGGATTCGTAGGTGGCTGTGGAGCCCTCTTCTTGATCCACATCTTCTCCCACAGTGAAGGCATTAATTGGTTTCCAGGTGGAAGGCGGTCCCGGTCGGGGTTGGCTTGACGCGCCTTCCTCTTGGCACGCTTCTCCCTTTTACCCTCCATTCGTGCCTCTTCAAATTCTGCAGCACTGCTGCTCACAGCTGACCTCCAGCTGGAGCGCGCAAGGGCCAGGGCTTCCCAGTTCTCAGTGTCTATGCCAGAGATTTTAAGGTTGGCTTTGAGGCTATCTTTCAATCTCTTTTCCTGTCCTCCAACATTCTGTTTTCCGTTCTTGAGTTCAGAGTAGAGCAACTGCTTTGGGAGACGGTGGTCAGGCATCAGACAACGTGGCCGGCCCAGCGGAGTTGATGATGGAGGACCATCGCTTCAATGCTGGTGGTCTTTGCTTCTTCCAGCATGCTGACGTTTGTCCGCCTGTCTTCCCAAGAGATTTGCAGGATTTTCTGATGGAATCATTCCAGGAGTTGCGTTTTGACGTCTATAGACAGTCCACGTTTCGCAGGCGTATAGCAGGGTTGGGAGGACAATAGCTTTATAAACAAGCCCCTTGGTCTCCCTTTGGATGTCCCGGTCCTCAAACACTCTCTGCTTCATTTGGAAGAATGCTGCACTCGCAGAGCTCAGGCGGTGTTGAATTTCGGTGTCAATGTTGACTTTGGTGGAGAGGTGGCTGCCAAGGGAGTGGAAATGGTCAACATTTTCTAATGTTACACCATTAAGCTGTATCTCTGGAATTGGAGAGGGATTGCCTGGTGACTTCTGGAAGAGCAGTTTGGTTTTCTCAATGTTTAATGACAGGCCGAGCTTCTCGTATGCTTCTGCGAAGGTGTTTAGAGTGGCTTGTAGGTCTTCTTCTGAATGCGCACAGACCACGTTGTCATCAGCATACTTGAGTTCTATAACAGATGTTGTTGTAACCTTGGTTTTGGCTTTCAGTCTGCTGAGGTTAAATAGCTTGCCATCTGTCTGATAGATTATTTCCACTCCGGTGGGAAGCTTCCAATCAAAAAGGTGAAGTATCATAGCGATGAAGATAGAGGATAACACATCCCAACAGTGGTGATCTCCACACAAACAGACACATGTTTAAGGGATGGAGTGGGGGGGTCTTACCAAACCTAAATGTGGTGAAGGTTCTGGCCCTGATGGTGTGAAAGAATTGCGGGGGGGGGGGGGGGGGGTTGCTCTTGTTTCCTATGCGTCGCTCTCTCTCTAGCTGATCTATCATTGGCCATATA